AAGCCATTGTAACCCCATATAGTCAACAGTGTGATTTTGCAGCCACAGCTCATTTTGAAACAGACAGCGCACGCCCGTGAAAATGGGGTATCTCTGATTTCTTGGATTCATCGGCAAAAACGATCCAACAACGGTTGGGGCCCAGGGGCAATGACTGTTAAGCATTTAAGGCTCATTTAGATGTTGTCATATGTATTCGATGCTGCGTTCACCCACTTTTTTTCGCTAGAAGATCGACAAAACTGCTGGGCTTGGGTGAAAGGAAGTACTCTTATGTCTTATTCACACAAAGCGAGTCATGATCCTTGGCACTTGCAGATGGTTGGAATATGAGTGGTTGTACCAGTTGTGTATGTCTGCAACACCGCAGCCCTCAGTCCGAGTGCATGAATTCCAATCAAATACTGCTCAGTGCCTTCAACTTGCCCGGTGAAAACATTACTATGTCATCATTCCAAACAGGGCTGCAACAAAAATCAAACATGTCTGGAAACCACCGAACAGCTTACTACCCATTTACGGCTAATCGCGTCCCCTCAATAATAAACACCCCCCTTCTACTGTCCCAAAAAGAGGTATAATAACAATCCCCTATACTAAACCATGGTGGCTCTGGGGATGTTGAATGTGAACGGGGTACGGGATTATTCGTGAGATAATGATCCATAATTGCCCGCCAACCTGATGTAAGTCCAAGTTCAATAGTTTTATTTGTACAAGATCCGTCACTTGCACCGGTGCAACTTGCACCGTGCAACTTACACCCCTGATCATTTGGTGTCATTTCTATCTGCAAGATTCTGCAAGATTTTTTAAAAATATTTTAAAGGTATACCCTCTTGTAATCAAACATGGATTCCTGGAACATATGCCATTTAGATCCATTTAGATAATTGTATGGAACTTTATAGATGTGTTTTTTCCCATTTAAAAGCCTACGTTTAAGGGATCTCCCGTTGCCATGCTACCGGAGGGTACGTTTCGCGTGCGTTTCTCGCCCCTGGAACTCTGTGTCTCCGGGCAATGATCAGCTGAAGTGGTGCCGACCACAACCTGAATCGCTCCGGGAAGATCTAGAGTGACTGGTTAGTGGCTGGTAAACTAACATAACTACGGAAAATCACAATTGTTAATGGGCAAATCAACAAACTAAATGGCCATGTTCAATAGCTATGTTTAGTTTATCAACTGGTAGTGGTTCATGATGGTTCATGGAAGCAGTTAAAAAAAAAGTCCAACAAAAATATTGCCGCTTCGGAGCATGTTGAGACATCCGCATGCTGTGCTGATCCGAGATGTATCTGACCTTGCAGGCCGTGGAGAGACGGTAGATTATTCAGTTGCCATTGGAGGTAAGCTATATTTTGTGGCGATATTCCCATAGACATAGCCCGGTTGCATAGGCCCAAAAAATGTGGCAGGCACCTCCAATTTAGCTGAAATGGACATTGATTGATCCATTGTTTTTTGCTACGTGTCAATATCATTCGATATCTTATTCAACCTGGATTGCTGCATCCTTTTTTTTTGTTGCGCTAAACCCTTCCCCGGAAGTTGAAAGGAATCTCCGCATGAAATTGGAAACATGATATATTTCCTGGTAACACGGAATCATGGTTTCCTTCATCCGTGAACCAACCAAATGAAACTAGGGATACAGCTTTGCTGTATCTTTATTCCTTGCACCTCTGGGATTAAAATCAGGTAGGAAACCAGTGCATGGAACCCTGGTGGCATCCTTCATGAGAGGTGCAGAAATCCAGTGGCCCCGGCTCTAAACCTTGGAAAGTTGGCCCCCAATCTACTGCCCTTTTTTTTTACTACGAATATGATGCGATATTGTCCGATATGTCACTCTTCAACCATCTGATAGAACATGGGCATCCACAATGTCCAAAATTTATATTTATATTTATATATTATATTATATACTGTGTATATACATATTATATATATATATATACGTGCAAAACCTAGGCTTTGCCCAGGCGTTGCAGCGAAGAGGTTTCCCATTCCCAAACAAATGCTGATGCAACTTCACAAAATTCCTATGGGAGAAACAACAAAGGTACTAGGGAATATTAAACTCCCAACCCCGTGAAACTTTACATTCCATTGGGAAGATGAACAGAGGTACTAGGGAATATTAACCCCCCCACCCCCGTGAAACTTTACATTCAATTGGGAAGATCAACAAAGATACTAGGGAATATTCAAGTCCCACCCCCGTTAAACTTCTACATTCATTGAAGATCTTCGATAAGGGTTTAATTCTCCCACCCCCGGGAAACTTCTACATTCATTGAAGATCTTTAATAAAGGTTAAACTTCTATTTTCATTTTGAAGATCTTCAACAAGGGTTTAATTATCCCACCCCCGTTAAACTTCTATCTTGATTTTGAAGATCTTCAACAAGGGTTTGATGATGATGGTGATGATGATGATGATGATGATGATGATGATGATGCGTTGCCTGTCGTGGTTGAGGTTCCGGGCAAAGCCCAGGCATTTATTGACGCCGTTGAATTCGGGAAGAAAGGAACAATATTGATCCAAATTATATATATATATATACAATGTGGCCCCCCCAGTTATAAATAAGTTGGTTTAGATTCGCCCCAATAACTACAGTTATTTGCGTACCATGTTTACCATAGTGAAATTGGAGTTATGTGAACCCCAACTTAGCTATCGTAAACGGAGGCCTCACATTGTATATATGGATCATCCGAAAAGGCCCCGGCGAGAGCAGATTGCACAACTGACCGCTGTCAACTTGTCGATTCACCTCAAATTGCAGCCTCAGTCGACGGCGTCCAAGGAGCGCCAGGATATTCTTGTGATTGAAACAAGGAATGGGAGATGGGTGTTTGAAATCACCATCATTCTGTTAGGTCCATGTGAATTTTGGTGAAAGGAAGGATAGCTCACCAAAAATAATGATTTTTCTCGGGACGCACTCCAACACGTTTCTTCTCGCAACTTGCCCTTTGGTAACCAAACATGGCAATGAGCAATCATCCTTTTATAGATTAAGTTCCCATTTAAATGTCAATTTAGAGGAGATTTCCCGGCGAGCGGGTGAATCCCATGTTTTTTTAAATTTTTTTGAGTTGCAATTCCTGCAGAAATTTCTAATCGTTTATCCTTGGGGAACACACGGTTTTCATAACGCTATCTATATCACTACCTAGACCCTCCAAATACACCCCCAAAACTGGTAAAAGTACAGATTATATAAATAATCATTTAACTAAATAATATTAGGATATATTAGGTATATCATAACTACCCTTTTAAGGGGGGGGACGTACCCAAATTGCACGACACAATTTAGACGTTTTTGAGGGAGGGTGCCTGGTAAATGTAAGCAAGCATTTATTTTTCTAACTGCGTTCTATTTGCGAGATTTCATTTTAGTAGGTCCCCTCACGCTTTACGGGATTTAATTTATTTTCTTAAAAAACGCACGGGGGCGTTCAAAATATCCGATTGCATTATTGAAAAAATGCAAGAACATGAAAAACAAATGTATATAAAATTGTAGTGTGAAGGTCTGCAAATAGCTGCAGAATTGCAGAAAATCAAAAATGCAAACTGAAAGTTTGTAGGACCCCAACTGCTTGGTATTTCCAATACATTCTACACTTTTTCTGCACCTTTTTTATCATTTCCACATGTAACATAGAGGTATAGAAGGTATATATATTATTCGCAAATTACTGGAAAATCCTTAAACTTCAAATATTTGTAGAATTAGATGTTGAAGGTCTTCAAGTTTACCTCCTACCTATGGGAAAAAATAGAGTACAAATAAAGATCTCAAATGGACCTCAAATGAACCTTTATGGGGTCCCCATGATAAACCCCCTTTGTGTACCTACATGATCGAACTTAAACACCCTTCTGCCACGGTTCCTATCTAGCCCCCCGTATGACCCTCCAGCAATAATAATACAATAACAATCTACACATGTGTCATGTTGATTCTGAAAGGAACTGTGGAACCTGAGGTGTAGGATGGTTACATTTTTCTATCTTAGCTTTACCTTCTTTTTCGAGCACTTTCTGCAAAGAACTATGGACCTTATGTATAGGATTGTGTTTTTTTGAAAACATATTTACCTTATTGTTTAAGCACTTTCTGCAAGGAATTATAGGCCTCAGGTGTAGTATGGTTACATTTGTCTATCTTAGTTTTACCTTCTTTTTCGAACACTTTCTGCAAGGAACTATGGACCTCAGACATAGGTTGATTACATCCCCATGCACAAAGACACCTCACAAACAGATCAAACAGTTTACAAACTGCTTGCGGACATTTAACAGTTTTTACATTCCCCCCCCTATCCGTAGAGTACGGGGGGAGGGTCGGAGGGGGGTACGGGGTGACGTATCTCTTACGGACCTTCAACCCCCCCTAAATGTAAATCTTCGGGGCACGGTTTTTGACGTAGGAGGGGTCTAACATACATATAGCCTTCCCCATCGGGAAAAATACGAAGGGGTCAAAATTGTTGCTTACATTTTTTGAACGCCCCCATGCTTACACCCCACGAAAAGGGTGATGATGTTATATCCACCATAAATCCACATGTTTGCCTATTTACAAAACAACTTACGTATCCATCCGGGCCCCTTCCTACGGCACCGCACATACTTTTGGACTCTCGAAGCCATTATCGGGTTTTCGCGGAGCAACTGATTCTTTGTCAGCGCAATCTCGTGCGTCTCAATCGATTGTGGTTCCCTCTTTAAACATGAAACCAACTGGGTTTGTCTCAATATGGATGCAACGCTGGAGCGGCATTATCTTTGAAATAATGTTATGTTGCTATGTTAATATAACATAATATAACATAATACAACATAATATAACGTAATATCACATAATATAATAAAACACAATATAACATGGTTATAATATGTTATAACATATTGAGGTATCCCCGTTTCAGACAAACCCAAATAAGCTGTTCTCTCAGTCCGCTAGTCCGGATCAGCAAAGGTCAAAGGCATAGGAGCAGAAGAATAGGCCAATACATGCCACCAGGGCCCACTGCCTTGCAGAAACTGAGTCGAATGATCGGAAGATCATAAAACCATATTAAACCTCAACACATTTGGCTGAAATACCATTCACCTAGTCATGATACCCCAAACACTTCCTAAGAAGGTACGGCTGGATCCATAGGGTATAACATATTAACAACAACGCATCTTGTTGCAAAGTTTGCAGCAGATGCTGATGATGGCAAGTTCTGGAGCCTCTCCTAAGACCTTTCAATGCCGGAAAAATGACCAGATTTCACAGAAAAGATGCAAAAAATGCTAGGTCCTTGCCTCATTGCCTCTCAAACTTGCCCAGGTGCATGATACCCATGCAATTCTCCAAAATATTGATCTCCGAGAAAAAACCCAGGCGCTTTCCAGCTTGCAAGAGCAATGGGATAACAAACATCACCTCAACAATCCACAGCGGGAGGCTGGTAGGCTTTTCAGTAGTTTATCTGGTGTATCTTCAGTAGAATACATGGTGAAAAGATGTGAAAAGTATGATTCGCTTAATTATTGCAACGTCATTCCAAGCTAATTCTCATACAACACAGCAAAATAACATTTAAGAGTCGATGACGTTGTAAAAAGGTAATCTGATACAAAGTTGTGCAACCCTGAAAGCATCCTATGTTTCTTTCCGCTGATGACATAAGTACATCATGGCAAATCCGCTGAGCCTGTCGCCATAGAGTCAAGATGCTGCATGTTGCTTGGGGAAATCCCTGCAAGCAACATCCACAGAAACCAAACAACCACTGATATTCGCAGACCGCTACTAACATGGAATCCACGTTGAGAATAGAAAATCGATCTCGAAAGATCCAGGCCCCGCTCCGCCGCTCCGCTGTTTGGTGAGTGGCTGACACACTAGGACCACCAGCTTGCTGCAACATCTCCTCAGACTCAACAGCTGCAGTGGATGTTGCTGGCCTTTCGATTTATGTTACCCTCTGGTAAGCGTTTACATAGCGAACTGGAAAATCACCATCTTTCATAGGTAAAAATCAACTATTTCAATGGCCATTTTCCAGTTCGCAAACTGTAACACATTACCAGGGGGTGGTACCTCACGTCACTATAGATGTATCCAAGAATGTATCAACATTATTAATATCCTACCCAAAAATAAACCGACCTGCCTATACGGATCTACATCCTTCAGTAGGGGCGCCAACGCTTGGACCAATAGGGATCTGGATTTTTAAAAAAAAAAAACGAGCACCAAAAAAGAACGGAGAAACTTAAGGATGGTCCAGTCACTACTATTCACAGTTTATCTATATACAGTATAAATACACTGGCACCTTTGGATAACTTCCAGATCACAAACCCATTTTGGGATAGTCCATGATAGATCATGATAGTCATCCCCCTTCCAAGCATCACATGGTCGAACATGGTCACCTCATTTAGTGACCTCGCTGTAAAAAAAAGTGCCCCGACAGCTCGAAAAATTCTGACTTGACAGGTCTCTCTTCGCAGCCGTAAGCCCCAACTCTGGTAGCCTCGACGAAACCTTGCTGTGTCGATTGTGTTGGTGGCCGAACCACCCATTAACCATCCGAAAATTGATGTTTTTTTTTCAGGCAAAATGTATCAAAATGTGTGAATTTACCATAAACATGTTTTGTCAAAAACTGTGGTTATGCAATTATGCAATCAAAACTATGAAAATAACAACGACTTCATGTTTACCACAAACATTGAATAATGATGAGTTTGCCATCCAACATCCGGATTTAATTGTCATGGTGGTGTCAGCATCAAAGAAAAAGGATTCACTGGGGAACCCTATTCTTAGCTTAACCAATATTATCCCCTATGGATCCATGCCCACTGTCGAAGGTACGGCGGTTCACCCCCGAAACGTCAAGTCATCATACCCCAGTCACACTTCCTAGGAAGGTACGGCTGAATCCGTAGGGATCCTATATTGGTTGAAACATACCATGATTCAAACGTAGAGACGCTCGTGGGGAGTGAAGCACATGGGAGGGCGGTCCTTCCGTCTCATGTTTCCTGGTTGTTGTTGACCACTGGGCATGTTGAGAAAACAAAAACTCTGTTGGCAGAGGAATTCAAATCAAAAAAATTACCCTCTGGTAAACTAACATAACTATGAAAATTATGGAAAATTATGGAAAATTCATGAAAATTCACTATAAATGCTGCTTTTCCATAGTTATGTTAAATTACCAGAGGGTACAACTGAAACACCATTCAAGCCGGAACGTTCCTTCCAACCAGGTCGGAAAGATCTAGCTGATCTAGCCACCCAAAAGTATCGCCGAAGTCCAAGTGACCCGAACTTCCGAAGCGCCCAGCTAGCTCTGGTTCTAATCCAGTTACCATGCCACATATGCCACTGTACCAAGGCACAATGGTGAGGTCTTTGGCAAGGCATCAAACCAGTCATTCCAGCTGGACGCGTGGGAAAATGCGCCCATCATGGTGAGCACTGCGCCCAGAAAGTGAGCCTAGGAATGGAGCATCAAGGCAGAAGCACTGACTTTTATGGTTTGATTTAAGGGAACATGCATACGACATTGTAAGAATCAATAAATTCTAAGCCCAACTGTAGAGGCTTTCTCTTATATCTCGGGTTTCTTAAGTCATGGGGCACCGCGGGTATCATCCAAAATGTGCCAAGCTTCAGAAAGAGCCAATCTGTGTGCAACTTTCAATATGATGATGCACGTCTAGACACATGTCTTTGTATCTATAGGACTTTGGGTTTATTTTGGGGATTCGTGACATATCGCAAACGCACATCTCGTGTAGTGTTCCAGGAAGAGTCATCCCAAGAAATACCAAAGACAAATCGATGGGACAAAAACACATCTGCCAGCTGATGTGTCCTATTTCCGTTGATTTGTGTGAATTTTGACGTGGGGATACTCATCCTTCAAATCGGAACAATATTACGCTTATCTTCACAGTTTGGACATCAAAACACTTCCTAAACACTTCGTTGGATCAGTTATTTCCTCATGATATGATTTTCTGAATAAAGGTGCGCCACTTTTAAATGCTTCTTCGATTATTGTAACATCCGTCAACTGGACATAACTAGTGACATAACTGTATATCTTTGATCATCTAATTACTTTGTTGCGAAAATCCTACCACCAAAAGCGACAAGGTGCGCCAGTCTCAGCGCTGAAAGTCAATCGCAGGGTGCCTAAGTTTTTGTGAGGCCAGCCATTCACCCAACCAATTGCGTTGACAAGAGTATTTTGTTTGCTCAGAAATAGTCAAAAGCGGGGGTGAACAATAATTGGCAATAATCGATCTCCCATTACGACTGTGCTGAGGGGAAGATTAGAATATGTGTGAGCAAAATAATTTATGTAAACCCCGCAAACTAGCCGCGTAGTTGAATATTGATCCTGTTTCATGCAACCCAAAACCATGCCCCTAATTTAAAATGCCGGAGTCACCTGATCGCAAACAAAAAATCGCGTGCGCTGCTTGACCAGTCTGCAGAATCAATCGTCACTCACCAGTGTAGTTCTTCATGGCACTTAGCCAGAATTTACCCTCTGGTAATCAAACATAGCAATGGAAAATTCACCGCTTGTCGATGATTTTCCCGAGTTTCCCACTAAAACTTCCATGCAAGTTTTCTGATGTTTTCTGGATCTAATGGATTTCCCCGCTTGCCACGTTTGATTGCCGACTGGAATATGGACACCGAATGAATCCTGCGCCTAAAAAGTGTTGTAAGTAGCAGCACCAGTGTCATAGTGCATAAATCTTATAGCCATTTATAGCCTATATAACAATTCTGGCCGGTAGTTGCTTACATTGGTGGTAATTCGAAAGAGTGTTGCTGCATAGTCTTGGTTTGGAAAGGTTTCTCCCCAAATAAATATGCATTATGATCATTGATTATCAAGGGAAACGCGTTTTTTCCATCGGCTCTTGGCAATCATTCGATTGATATTAACGCCTGAGTTCAGTGAATATTCGTGCATCTTGATCCATCTGGACCATACTCGACTTTTTTCGCAAGTGCCACTGAAGTGCACAAGCCCTGCAGAGCAATGCCCGCAGAAGCCAGCAAACCAGAATAAAGGCCTGGGTCCCCAAGTGGCCACCACGAATAGGTCAATGATGGTCAATGCTTACCCATCCTAATCCTACACCCAAACGTTGGCCTAGTTCTGAAGAAACATACCCATTTGTTGAGGGCCTCCATATAACATGCTGACCACACAAGACGACTCATATTTTGAAGGATGTGGTCCACAAGAGGGGGCAAGCATCCAAAATCATGTTGAACGCATGTGGGTTCAAAATCATGATATGATAGGTGCCGGTTGGGTTTTTATTTCAAGTATTTATCCAGATATTTCATGATGTGTAGTTCATTTCCATTGATTTCCTGACAGATATGTTCATACCCAAATTCAAAAAAAAACCATAGTCGTGATTCTGGTAATACTTACTGAGACCTCCCGCTTTAAGCAATGATTCAGGTTTTGCAGTTTTTTGTTGCCTGGAAACCTACCCATAAGAATGGTGTCTTACTCCATAGTTCTAGTACCTTTACCACTTTTGGAGAGTATTTAGGGGGACCAGGCATATTAGGTGTTGACTGAATATGTTTATATATTACCCTCCAGCAAATTAACATAGCTATGGAACAAGGCCCATTTATAGTAAATGATTTACCTAGTAAAAGTCGTAATGTTCCATAGCTCAATGACTAGAGGCTAACAAGATTAGCAATGCAAAATAACATGCACTGGCAATTTGAAGCCGAGTGACCAGACTCCAGACCTGTACCAGGATGAAACCTGCCGTCAGAAAGTCCACCTTTGATTACTTTGATGACATGGGCATGCATCACATTATGTTGAAACTACGAATTGAAATGAATTGAATGAACCACGTGGTCTCTGTTCGAGTCAACAAAGCTGCCCTACCTTCCTGACATGTTTTGGGGTTTGACTCTTGTGTTCCGCCGCGGCGCCTGCTGAAGAGTGAGTGGACTACAACCATGGTGATTGCCAGCATGAAGCCACAAAAGCCTCAAGACGAGACTTAGCGCGGCTTCAAATCAGACATCGACATTGCCTAAGGGCCTTAACATTGCACAGGTTTAAAGCAAAAGAAATGGTAAGATAATATCACCAGCCCGTAGATATTGGAATTTGCCATTTGAAAAAACATCAGATCTCCATACCCTCTGGTAAACATACAAAAAACTATTGAACATGGCCATTTATAGTGAGTTTTCCCATTAAAAAAAAAAAGGTGATTGTTCATAGTTTTTTCCCGAGAGCGTCTAAGCGAAAGGTTCTTCTAATAGTGGGGGTCTGTCAAACATTTTCACTTAACATCTCCAAATCTTCTCATCTTCACAACTGTTCCACATCTTCTCCTCTTCACATCTTCTCATCTTCACATTTTCTCATCTTCACAACTTCTCATCTTCACATTTTCTCATCTTCACAACTTCTCATCTTCACATCTTCTCATCTTCACATCTGTTCATCTTCACATCTTCTCATCTTCACATCTGTTCATCTTCACATCTTCTCATCTTCACATTTTCTCATCTTCACATCTTCTCATCTTCACATCTTCTCATCTTCTCATATTCACATCTGTTCATCTTTACGTCTTCTCATCTTCACATCTGTTTATCTTCGCATCTTTCATCCTCACATCTTCTCATCTTCACATCTGTTCATCTTCTCAACTTCTCATCTTCACATATTCTCATCTTCACATGTTCACATCCTCACATCTTCACATTATACTCTCTTGCCCTCATGCTCTCTTGCCCTCTTGCTCTCTCCTTCTTTTCTATTTCTCTCTTGAAGGCGCGGGGCAGTGCCAACGAGACGGCGCGAAACGCAACCCTTTCGCACGAAATGAGGTTCGATCGCCAAAAACTGCAGTAAAATTGCGATTTCCGGGTTCCCGTCGCAACCCTTTCGCACGAAATGAGGTTCGATCGCCAAAAACTTAAATATAGCATTAATTGCGACCGCCGGGTTCCGTCGCAACCCTTTCGCACGAAATGAAGTTCGATCGCCAAAAACTGTGAAAAAAGTGCGATTTCCCTTGTCCAATCGCAACCCTTTCGCACGAAAAGAGGTTCAATCGCCCAAAACTGAAATAAAATTGCGACCCCCGGGTTCCGTCGCAACCCTTTCGCACGAAATGAGGTTCGATCGCCAAAAACTGTGGTAAAATTGCGATTTCCCTTGTCCAATCGCAACCCTTTCGCACGAAATGAGGTTCGATCGCCAAAAACTGTGGTAAAATTGCGATTTCTCTTGTCCAATCGCAACCGTTTCGCACGAAATGAGGTTCGATCGCCAAAAACTGTGGTAAAATTGCGATTTCTCTTGTCCAATCGCAACCTTTTCGCACGAAATGAGGTTCGATCGCCAAAAACTGTGACTCTGAGGTAAAATTGCGATTTCACGGGTCCGGTCTCTGTGTGTGAAAGTGTTTGTGTGTAAAAGCGTCTGTGTCTAAAAGTGTGTGTGTAAAAGAGCCTGTGTGTAAAAGTCTCTGTGTGTAAAAGCGCCTGTGTGTAAAAGTGTCTGTGTGTAAAAGCGTCTGTGTAAAGGCTTCTGTGTGTAAAAGTCTCTGCGTGTGAAAGTGTATGTGTGTAGAAGTGTCTGTGTGTAAAAGCGTCTGTGTGTAAAAGTGTCTGTGTGTAGAAGCTTCTGGGTGTAAAAGCTTCTGTGTAAAAGTCTCTGTGTGTAAAAGTGTCTGTGTGTAAAAGCGTCTGTGTGTAAAAGTCTCTGTGTGTGAAAGTGTTTGTGCGTAAAAGTGTCTGTGTGTAAAAGCGTCTGTGTGTAAAAGTGTCTGTGTGTAAAAGCGTCTGTGTGTGAAAGTGTTTGTGTGCAAAAGCGTCTGTGTGTAAAAGCGTCTGCGTGTAAAAGTTTCTGTGTGTAAAAGCGTCTGTGTGTAAAAGCGTATGTGTGTAAAAGCGTATGTGTGTAAAAGTGTCTGTGTGTAAAAGCGTCTGTGTGTAAAAGTGTCTGTGTGTAGAAGCTTCTGGTGTAAAAGCGCCTGTGTGTAAAAGCGTCTGTGTGTAAAAGCGTCTGTTTGTAAAAGCTTCTGTGTGTAAACGCTTCTGTGTGTAAAAGCGTTTGTGTGTAAAAGTGTCTGTGTGTAAAAGTCTCTGCGTGTAAAAGTGTCTGTGCGTAAAATCGCCTGTGTGTAAAAGTGTCTGTGTGTAAAAGCGTCTGTGTGTAAAAGCCTCTGTGCGTAAAAGTGTCTGTTTGTAAAAGCGTCTGAGTCTAAAAGTGTCTGTGTGTAGAAGCGTCTGTGTGTAAAAGCGTCTGTGTGTAAAAGCTTCTGTGTGTAAAAGGGTCTGCGTGTAAAAGCTTCTGCGTGTAAAAGCTTCTGTGTGTAAAAGCGTCTGTGTGTATAAGCGTCTGTGTGTAAAAGCTTCTGTGTGTAAAAGCTTCTGTGTGTGAAAGTGTCTGTGTGTAAAAGTGTCTGTGTGTAAAAGTGTCTGTGCGCAAAAGCGTCTGTGTGTGTAAAAGTGTCTGTGTGCAAAAGCGTCTGTGTGTAAAAGTGTCTGTGTGTAGAAGCGTCTGTGTGTAAAAGCTTCTGTGTGTAAAAGATTCTGTGGGTAAAAGTCTCTGTGTGTGAAAGTGTTTGTGCGTAAAAGTGTCTGTGTGTAAAAGTGTCTGTGTGTAAAAGTGTCTGTGTGTAAAAGCGTCTGTGTGTGAAAGTGTTTGTGTGCAAAAGCGTCTGTGTGTAAAAGCGTCTGCGTGTAAAAGTGTCTGTGTGTAAAAGCGTCTGTGTGTAAAAGCTTCTGTGTGTAAAAGCTTCTGTGTGTAAAAGCTTCTATGTGTAAAAGCTTCTGCACGTAAAAGCTTCTGCACGTAAAAGCTTCTATGTGTAAAAGCGTCTGTGTGTAAAAGTCTCTATGTGTAAAAGCTTCTGTGCGTAAAAGCTTCTATGTGTAAAAGCGTCTGTGTGTAAAAGTCTCTGTGTGCAAACGCATCTGTGTGTAAAAGGTTCTGTGTGTGAAAAACTTTACGAAGGATACGATGCAAAGTATTGTGTTGTACTTGTAAAATATTGTCTTGATACTACTCTTCTCGTCTGCCTATAATAGATCTTTAATATATTGTCTTGTAATATAGTGTCTCAATACTAACAACAGAAGACCCTGCTCCTCTACGCTCTCGGGCCATCCGTCGTCTAGTTGTTAGCTTACAAAAAGCTATTGAACATGGCCATTTATAGTGAGTTTTCCCATTAAAAATGGTGATTTTCCATAGTTATGTTTGTTAGTTTATCAGAGGGTAAATCTCCACAGCGCTACTTGGATTGGGATGCTGCCAGGCATGTCTGGTGACCAAATTTTCTGAACTCCCCCCTAAAAAGAGCGCTGGGCTCGAACATGGCACGATGATCCACCAAACCCGGGCGGGCTTGAAAGACAGGAAAACGAGAAACATGTTTCTGGCAAAAGCACCGAGTATGCAACTAATATGTCAATAATTGTCAATATTGGAAACATATTTCTAGTTGAAGTATGTTGAAGTATCCTAGGGTACCTTGCTCCAATTTGCACCTGCACCAAGACACTTTGCTGACAGTGGATACAACAGCTGCAGCCAAAACACCAAAGCCGACCCTGTACATCAATCGTCCGCTGGTTGAAATTCCCATCTCAGAAATTGCCGGGACTATCACACCATCCTCAGGCTGCAAATGAAGCTGAACCAACATTTTGGATCATTCACTGACTATCATGTATATGTAGTATAGAAACTGCAAGTAACTTCCTAGTTCCCGTTTCAATAGGGAATATGGATACCCAAAGTTCCTAAATGCTCCCTCCTAACCCTAGTGAATTGAAGTGATGGTTCACTTAAGGCTCCATGCCTCACTGCTGTTCTGTAATGTTTTCCATCCCCTGAAACTTCCCAGAACGACTTATCGTTGGACCTCCACAGGCACCCGATTTTCTCGGGCCCAAGATGGCCCAAGGTTCCGCTAAGAGTGGTGCATGTAGCCAGTAACATGCAACCAAGGTGGTCAGGTACCACATCAACGATGCCATGGGAACCAACGCACGGACTTTGGAGAAGGGTCCGGATTGTAGAGCCACAGCCACCTCGGCAGGTGCCCCTCATGGTCATCCCATGGTGGGCCAGAATGAGTCCCTATGATTGGCCAGAACATCCCCTGCACCGCACTGGTTTCTCCCAAAATGGAGGAACTGACCATGGCCACTTTTATGGGGAACAGTATTGTAAAATATTGTAACATATAACTTAACATGTTAATTAATGATCAACAATTATATTTGGAGCTTCCAATTTCTGAAGAAATAAACATACCAAGTTAGGTGTGGAATGCTGTAGTTAATTTGTTCCCAGCCTGTCTCGGACTGTAGATCTTTGGAACTGTTGGTGGGTCAGACCTCCAACCTGAGGATTCCCTCGAACCTACGGTTTCTGGTTCTAGTCATGCGTTTCCCACCCAAGAATTACAGCAAAAAACATGCTTCGTGGATGAGGGTGCGAAATCTTGACAAGAGCTCACAATTCCAGTTGAACAACAAGAGGTCACAAAAGCTTTCTTTTTCTCTGCATTGTTGGTCCATTAAAAATAGTGATTTTCCCATTAAAAAAATGTGATTTTCCCTTTTTCTCTACAAGTTATCTTGTCTTCTTGACCCGGATCCACATGTCGCAGGATTTGGGGCATCCCATCCGCTGGGATCTGAGAGTTACTGATAGCCTGATAAATAGTTGGCTAGCAGCGAGCATATACCTTCGTTTATACGAAAATCAGCCACTAACCCAAGCCTACTCAAGGCCTTCACATATGCATCTTTGGGGGTGATTTGCAGCTGTAGGTACCAGAAGCACGGAGAGGATCGTTGCAACGACCAGTCCTAGCTTTCCATGGGTAGCTCATCTTGGACTGGCAACCGGGAATTGTACCCTGGGCAAATTACGATCATTCTCAAATCAGAAATAGACCCTCCGGTAATTTTTCAGATAGCTCAGCTATACGGTATACGGTATAAATTAGACCTATTTAGTTAACGGTGAGTGACCTAAGACAACGGCTCTTTTCCACAGATTTTTTGAGTTGATAAAGGATTCACATATATCTTTGCTTAGGAAAAAATGACAGTCCCCAGCAAGAGATATCTACCCAAAAAAATAATGGCTTGGAGCAACATAATTGTGTAGAGAATGAACTATCCAGATATAAACACTTAATACAATTTAGATTGTTGATACATGCTGACCCACCATAAGATGGTTGCACGGCGGACCCCTAGTTATATGAATTGGTTAAAAAACCTCATGAATTATAGAGATTGATATCCACACAATCCCGGCGGTTATTGGAGTTTTAAACCAAATTTGCTAACATTGATGGTTAAATCATGTCAAATCCCATTTCTGCTAGCTACCATTTGCTGGTCACTTAGCAGATACTTCTGTAATTTAACATAGCTATAGAACATAGCACATTCATATGATTTACCGATTCAACATGGTGATGTTCCATAGTTCTGTTGGTGTACTGTATGGTAACTGTAGGGCCCCACTTTATAATCAATCAACCAAGATTTTGGATATTGCTCCCAACAGCTAGTGCTTACTAAGCCCTTATTAGATGTTATTAGTGGTTGTTGATGCCACTAATAAGCCACAGATAAGCCCCCTGAATGTTGAAAGTTGGCGAGATCACCAGTAAATCACCAGTAAATCACCATAAAATCCTTTGAAATCCAATGGAAAATCATGTTTGCTGGTTAGCTAACTGTTTCTCCTGCGTCAAAGTCTCCGCCCATCGCAGTCTCCGACATCCTCCGCGCCATCCGCAGATGCTGCACCCGCAGCGCCACCGGCGCGGCACCGTCCAGAGGCTGCACGACCCATCGCTCTGAATACGGCGCTTGCAGCACCTGTGGAAAAAATGGGGGAATGCCATGGCGAAATTCAAACAACCATTGCGAATGAGTCATTGCTGTTCAGTATTGTTCAATTTTGAAATAGTCATGTTTATTGCTTGTTTTTCTAATTATTGTTTTATGTAGTCATATTATTTGATGTGTTGTTAATACAACCATTACTGCTACTGTGTGTTTTTAATGAATTGCTTGTCATTGAACGTCTAATAACAAACAATCCAATCCTGTTAGACTACGGCTCTTTGTGGGTTGCATCATCTTAGACGGCAAGATGGGACGCCTGTTTTTGTGGATCATCCTCCAGAAAAAGGGGGGCATCATCATCAAAACATGATACGTATGTTGAAAGCAGCAACGAGATTCATGGCTAATGTCAACCCTGGATTAATAAACCCCAAACGTCTGTTTAATTGGGGGATACGGGATACCAAAAAAAAGTATCATATTATGACTATATCAGGGGAGTATCACCCTAATTGTCATAAACCATGTTGTAGCAAAATCCGGGTTTGACATTATAGCCAGAAGATATCCCATTTCTAGGCGAGATCCCAAGCGTTGTTGGAAAAACACCCCAAAGGTCAGCCCAGAGACTGCCAGGACGCCGTTCAAGGATGCCTGGGATCAAATCACGGTTTCGCACATGTCACAGGAACTCCCTTGGCCCAAACAAATTGTATAGATAGATAGATATGCAATATATATATATATATACATATATCAATTTATATATATATATTCAATATATTCCTCCAATATCCTCCAATAAAGTCCAGCATTTTAGTTGGGCTTAACTCCAAAGTCGCGTGGGTTCTTGCAATGCTGCCAAACCACACATCTATAAAATGACCCCCCAGCCCGCATATGGCTAGGCTCCATCTGACTCTGGGTAATTACTCTCCTGTAAAAGAACAGTTATGCAAATTCACCATGTTCTATAGGTAAATCAACTGTAGACAAGCCATTGTCCATAACTACAAGGTGAGGACCCCCAGTTACAACTTGGCTTATAGCCCCACTAACTATGTATATATATATATATATATAGATATATCATAAATATATAAATTCTAGTTATTGAAGTTATGTGCACCAACTTAGCTATCATTTGGGGGCCTCACCTTGTATATCTTCGTTTTCTAGAGGGACTGTTGATACAAAATTGACCTCTTGATTCCAGGGAAACCGGTTCCCCGGCCTTCTGCAGTCCATGAATTCGCACCACGTTCCCAGCTTCCATGGCGAAGGCCGAAACCAAACTCCACAGAGGTGGGCAATGGAAAATGCTAAGCACCCGTTGATAGTTTAAATGCCGTAGAAATATGGTAATTTCTTGTTTATTTTGATTACTGCAGGAACTATTATAGATAGAAAACTAGTGTGGCTAAATGTTAGATAATTTGAAAACAATTCTTGCAACAATTCTAGCAAGTCACTATCCAGAATCACAGTTGCAACATTTTCCTAGCGATGGCATTATATATATATATATCCCAATGGATCCAGCCGTACCTTCCTAGGAAGTGTTTGGGGTATGATTTAGGGGGTGAAGTACCTTCTGAGACAGTGTTTGGATCCATAGGGTATATATATATATAATTATATATATATGACTCACACTTCGATCACAGCATTCTTTTTGGCCAGATGCTTTGCAGCAGGTTTGTTAGATTGATCAAATCTCACAGCGTCACATGGGACATCTGTCCCAGGATGATGGAAAAAGCGAGAAGCAATGCCACTGGTGTCACTCAAATGTGGAAATTGCCTTCTCCTCCCCGATGGTCGGTGGGGAGGGAGGCGGCTCAAGAAGTGGGCACTTGAGAATAATTGCCACGGCCCATGTCCCTGCTGTTCTCTTCATTCGCCAAAGACCTGCCAGCAGGGGGTATGACTCACACTTCGATCACAGCATTCTTCTTGGCCAGATGCTTTGCAGCAGGTTTGTTAGATTGATCAAATCTCACAGCGTCACATGGGACATCTGTCCCAGGATGATGGAAAAAGCGAGAAGCAATGCCACTGGTGTCACTCAAATGTGGAAATTGCCTTCTCCTCCCCGATGGTCGGTGGGGAGGGAGGCGGCTCAAGAAGTGGGCACTTGAGAATAATTGCCACGGCCCATGTCCCTGCTGTTCTCTTCATTCGCCAAAGACCTGCCAGCAGGGGGTATGACTCACACTTCGATCACAGCATTCTTCTTGGCCAGATGCTTTGCAGCAGGTTTGTTAGATTGATCAAATCTCACAGCGTCACATGGGACATCTGTCCCAGGATGATGGAAAAAGCGAGAAGCAATGCCACTGGTGTCACTCAAATGTGGAAATTGCCTTCTCCTCCCCTATCCGCTCTGCGCTCTGTGAAATTTTGTGAAAATTCTTTGAGATCAAATCTGCCACGGCATCACACAGCTTAAAAGGATATGGTTGTGCGACCAAGGTCATGAATCTACCCAAGTTGTCTGTACCCTTTAGGTGAATATGTCGCTTTCCACTGTAACTGCATTGTAAGAATGTGCCCTTGCAACACCTCCCCAGATTACGAAGATCGATGAAGCTAGCCGCTAGACGGGTCGATTTCTTCCAGCGCTCTCCATATTGGCAAAAATCCAGGTCAGTAATATGCAACAGGTTCCATTCAAGCAATTGTCGCAGAATAGGAGTAAGCCAGCAACGTGAAGTTTTTGGGTTCTCCAAAATAACTGGGATTCTGAGGCACAAACGAACACAGATAATTCGCATTGAAAAGAAAAACAATTCGTTCCCTGTGAGTAGCTTTGCCCGATCCCTGCCTTTGATCCATGGAAGGCCCATAGGGTGCGCCTCATTGCGCAGAGGTCCTGGCCCAAATCCATCATTGCGACGAGCAAGGCTAAAGGTCGTGCATGGCATGCCCAGCCAAACCATCAGGACCACCCCAGACATGAGGAGATCAATGATGCGCTCCTCGACCTCCGGGTCCAGGACATCATCTGCAGGGTCACAAGAGTTGTCAATGCCAAAAGAGTCAAAGCCACGAGCCGCCACGGCTCTGTGCAATCTGCCACATCCCGAGAAGATTTCTAAGAAACATGGAGAGCTTGCTTCTTTCCAGCCTAGATGCTCAGGGGCGTTGCACGGCCCATGATCACGGCTTCCATCTTGCTTTGGGACCTCTTGCAGTATTGGAGAGCCCAAGGCGCCATCTTGTTCATGAGCTCCTGGACCTTGCCAAACTTGGCGTACCTCCTCACGGAGGAGTCTGTTCTCCACCTCCCCCGCGCTTTGACTCCATGGTGATCTCGGTGACCTTTTCCTAAGTCGTCTGAGGCGCCTCCATGTCGAAGCTGGTAGGTGTGAAGATTTGGCAAGCCAAGCCAATTTCCGGCCAGTTGGAACTTTTTCCGGAACTTTTCGGCATTGATGTTGAACAGAGGCTGGTCTGCTTTCCTCTTCTTCACCATATTGTGTATGGCCTGTCCCAGCCATGGCATTGTCTCTGGGTTGTCCAGAGGAAGGGAATTGCTGAAGATACCGGTCTTGTCTGGCACTTCGTCCTCTTCGTCGCGGACTACCAGTGTGTAGTGCTGGTATTGCTTCCCAGTTCCCCTGACAGGAGGCACCAAATTCTTTGTGAGAAGTGCCAAGGTCTCCCCAGGCCTCAGGTACGCATCGAAGCTCAGTAGCAAGGCAAGAGCCATTTCCTTCTCTTGAAGATGAAGAAGACGCATCGCCATACCGAATGCCACAGGCTTCGGAAGTGGCAACCGGGACTTTGGAGGTCTCAGCTTTCTCCATCCTCTCAAAGCCCTCCGGCTTCGACCTAAGGAGCCTTTCAGGCCATGGAAGTGGAACTCCAAGGCTGCCAGGGTCTTTTCCCCTTCTGAAGCTGTCTTGCCGTCTATGAACAACACGTCGAAGTAATCGGCGAGGACGGCATCGACGTCCTTCTTCGGGGGAAATTTCAACTTGTTCTCCTGACAGAAGGCCCTGAAGTTCCCAAGGTAGTGCTGGTACTGCCCCTGTTGCTCGGAGCTCACACTGTTCTTCTCCAGCATCGTCAACTTCCCACTCTGAGCCTTCTTCCCAGTCTCTGAGTCTACTTCTATCTTCCGACTGGTCACCGTTCTCGCTTCTCTCATGCATTTGGCTGGAGTCCTCACCTTCGCCGGCTTCAAGGAAGCCACCTTCACCTTCTTGGCTGATTCGAGGAAAAGACCTCGGGTCTCTTGCCTTGCTTTCAAGTCCTTTCCACTGACTGAACGGTTCCCTGACAACTTCCCCATCTTGGTAGTAGCCAGGAGTAGCCGCTCCTCGCGAGGGGGCATCAGATACGTTAAGCTCTGATGGGATCCAACGGATCCTGAGGCAGAGATTTGCAGCCAGAGCCAGCGCTCCAATCTTCTGAGCCACCCTCAACATGCCATGATTGCAGGACCTACCCTTTCCCATGCTGAAAGCCAAAGCAAGGTTGTCAACCAAGATCAAGTGGCGCTTTCCTCTGTGTTTGGATGTTCTGCAAAGTCTACGAACTGCAAGGCAAAGACATCTAGCTTCCTTTAGGGTGATATGTTCTTGGGTGTGTTTCCATTGTCCGTTGAGCGCAAGCTCCCAGTCAGTCGGGTGCAAGATCTCATGTGGGACCTCTTCAAAGTCTTCATTTCTGCTAAAAGTGTCCCCCCACTCAAAAGCATCAGGGTCACCTCGCGCAGTGTTAAGATGTTTCAAGGGGTCCCATCCTAAGGCTCTTTCACGCGGCTGCCACTGCTCAACAGGTGTACGCTTGTATCGCCAACGCTCATGCCAACGACCAATCTTAGATACACTCTGCATGTCAAGCCTACGCTCGCAGATACCAAAACCCTCGGGAGACGCGTCCGTACAAGTGACTGTATCGCTCCATTCTCTACGCATATCCCCTACCAGCAGCGGCAACAAACCTACAAAAATCCGACACTCTCTCTTTGCACTGTCCCACAGATGCCGTTTCTGAAAGTCCAGGCCTGCGAAATCGTACATGGCTCGGAAGATCCCCATACCTGCGCGGTTGAGGACAAGTACAACCATGGCATGTCCTAAGAGACGTCGGATCATATCAGAAGACACAGGGTGATGAAGAATATGGTTGAACACATACTTCAAGTTCCAAAATCTTTCTGCAGTAGGTTTAACAATACCGACTTCGCCATCAATAATACCACCAAGCGTAGGAAAATATGACGTAGAACTCATCTGCTCATGCATTTCAAAACCCCATGACTCCAGTTGACGCTCCAACTTCTGTCTGCCATGTTCTGCAACATCCGCTTGAAGGCTCAATGCGTGTGTATTGTCGCAGTATGGCATTGAAACAACCCTCTGCCTGCTCAGCTCGGGCGCAGGCCTCGAGTCCAGGACGACACTGTCTGGCTGCTCTCGTAAACTGCTCAAACAACCCTGAACATGTAGTGCTTGCACCAAGTAAAACGACCAACTGAAACCCATGGGGAAAACGGAAATACATGGGCTGATCATGTCATACTCACTAAGGTGGTCATACTCCCCCAAGTAGTTGTCACCCATGATCTGCTTCATCTCCCACACCGTAACATCCCAACTCAAGCAAAAATAATCCCGGAGGCAAGAAGGAAGGTTGCAAGCATAGAAACAATCCTTGATGTCACCACCAGAAATATATAAAGTCTCACCGTTGGGGATATGTAGATCACAAACTGCTGGAAGAGAGCCAAGTTCTGTAACAGGGGGAGCACGGAAAACAAGGTTCACGCGACGGCAGTCAAGGATCAGTCTCTGTCGTGTCTTCAGAACCCCATCTACCTCCTTGGGCTTCTTACTGACAGTAAAACATCCTACCCTGCCCACAGCTTGTCTAGTGAATTGAAGAACCCCTGCCCCATATAGCTTCCCTAAAAACTCTCTGTAAAAACTTTTGTCCCGCAGCTTAGGATCATCATAGGTGCGAATCTTGGCAGACTCATCAGAAAGCCATGACCAGTTGCCTGCATCTTGCAACATCCACGTGTGCGGATCACGCAAACACTCTCCAGCGCGGCCCTGAAGAATCTCTGCAGCTTCCACACCGCCTTTCCCCATCACGGGGATAGACAAAGACTCCAAATTCATTGAAACGACATCGCCGATCCCAACAGTGTCTCCCGCATAGGGGCTGCTGGCTACGCGGAGCGCCTTGAGGGCCCCTGCGCATCGTGCACCAAGAGGAGGCCCCCCGGTGCCAAGCACACGAGCGACCACAAATCTCAACGTCTCCCGCTGCCCCTGAGGAATTTCTGAAAGGCAATCGAAAGAACAAGTCTGTGCAACTCCAGGGTCAAAGCCAAGGTACAATGAATTCAGAGCAGACACGGCCAAGTTTGCCTCCTCAATGACATGCTTCCGCCTCATGAGTCTGCGACGGACTTTGCGACAGATGGTCAGCGACCGGATGCTAGTAGGAATCTCCAAATGAGGAAGTGGGAAAAGATCACGCGGCATCCCCCTCCCCCCTCCAGAGAAAGACTTGAAATCACCAGTCATCAGATCACAAAAGCTGGCCACCAACAAAATTCGCAGGCGAAACAAAATCCGGTTGACCCACCTGCAGTGCCAACCAGAACTCAAACTCACTTCTTTCCTCCCCCCGCCCCCTCAGGCTTCGGGGGGTTGGAGGGTTGAGGGTTGCCCTTGTTTTTGCCCTGGCCCTTTGCATCCTTTGCCTCCTTCAACTTGCGCTTCTCTTTCATCACCTGTGAATCCTCATGCATCCTCTTGGCCACATACTCTGTCAAAGAAGGGACCACGATACCACCACCAGGTCTGAATTTCACACCCATGAAGTAATCGCTGCCCTCATAAGACGGAGCGGCTGGGCTCTGCACATGGGCTTCGGCAATCAGTTGCTTGCGGCGGATGAGAAGTTCAAAGGAGGCCAAGTTGACCACATTGAGGCAGTCGTACCGAATGCCTAAATCAATGGCTCGGCTGAGCGTTTCATTCTCCCAGATCGCTCTGTCGCCATCCGGGATCCTGCTGGTTTGCACCCAGGCCAGGTGCTGTCCATAGCATGACTCAGCGACGTCACTAACTGCTCTCAAATACTCACATGCGGTGCGCGGCTCCAGCGGGAAGTCATCAAACTCCACCATCCTCATGTCGTCTATGGAACTTTTGAATCCACGGTGTCTCTCTCCGTTGACATTGTATTTGATGGAGAGGGTCCTCACGTCGGCCGCAGCCTCAACATCTTCTCCATGCAAACTTTCAGCAAGACGACACCGACCAATCAGGTCCTCACAGAAGCTTCCTAAGTCATCCTTTTTGACCCTAGACGCCCTGACAACCAACTCACAACCATCCTGACTAGTGACATGAACCAAAGCATGATCTCCATCTCGCGCGGCTCCTGCTGGCACACTAACTTCCTCTCCAATTTTGTGTCCTGGCACCATCTCAGCCAGAATCCAAACCATGTCCTCTTCAGCCAAGCCACCATCTGGAAGAGGAGCGGCCGGAGCCGCGACAGGAGCTGAAGCCGCATGTCCCAAGCGTTGTCTCTCTGCTCGTCCCAAGGTCTGCCCTCGAGAGAGCAAGCGGGCATACTGCTGGGCTGTCATTGGCTGAAAGGCGTAAATCTGATCTCTAGGAACACGTCCCGGGAGGCCGCCATCAGTGACATGCCAAAACCTGGAGAAGTCCCCATTGTCTCGGCTCAGCTGTTCAACGTACAGGTCCCCATCAGGGGTGGCGATGACCCAGTGGTCGTCGTGCACTCGCTCAATTGCAAGACGGGTGTGCACTACAGCTGGGAAGCCCTGATACTCAACGTAGCACAAATGTCCAGACTGGATAGGTTCAGCCATACTATTGATCTACTATTTGCAGGCCACGGGTGGCTCCGTACTTTCCTTTTCCAAATCCACCTTTAAATGAGAAACCCGGCTCACTGGCACTACTGTCAGACCGTTTGATAAGCAGGCTCAACACCAATCCACTGTTGATCACAATGAGCAATCCAACGACAATCCACACCCCCCACCAGATCGTACCGTTGCTGTCACGTTCTGGCCCGAGGCAAGAACAATGGCACTGACAAGCCCCAGGATCTTTAGGAGGGTCCTTCTGATTTGCCCACCAACCAACCAAAGCACCCGCAGTTGCCAACCCTAGACCATGGGCATCCATCCTAAGAAAAACCTCAAGAAGTGGGCACTTGAGAATAATTGCCACGGCCCATGTCCCTGCTGTTCTCTTCATTCGCCAAAGACCTGCCAGCAGGGGGTATATATACTGTTTCTCTAGTCTATGTTGTGTTACTGTTGCTGGAAAGGAGTCGTTCGAAACGCGAAACGGCGAAACCGGTGCCCTGAAGAACAAACGGATTTCTGGGGGTTGGGGGATCATCCGTCTGGCGATAGGCCGATAGGCACTGGTTATTTCTCCGATGGATGCTATGGTCATTGGAGCTACAACGGTGGTGCCCCCGTTCGATAGCTAAGTTGGCGCACATAACTCCAATAACTATAGTATTCATGGGTTTATAACCAATTTATAACTGGAGGGGGCCCCACTTTGTAGGGTAGCAGCATTTGATCCACTGTCTCAGGTAACTCGGCTCTGCTTCAATGCTGATGCAGGATGCTATCATAGCCTAGGGCCTATGATTGTAAAGAGTGCAAATCAAAGGCTCATGGATGCTATAACCCATAGGATCCATGGTGCTGCTATATATGGTAACATGGATCCCATCAATATACCCCAGATGTTAGCATATATACCATACATGGATCCTATGGGTAAATACACTGTTGTTGATGTGTTGAAAGAGCTTTCTTTGGAACACAACGATTCACGTATCAGTGACTTTGACAACAGTGGGTCTTGGGCAACAAGTGACTCTTCCGGGGATACCGTATCGATACCCTTCAGTTCAATGTAGCAAATCAACCCCCGACTCTCAGGTAGAAGGGTGTCTCACAGTTCTGTATTCACAACCTGCCATGTGAATCGGTTTTGGTAATTGGGCATAATTATGGACATTGCTGCCACCAGGACTTACGTTACAGTCCTCTGGTGGCCCTATCCTGCTGGAGATCTTTATAAATGAAGTATAATGAAGTCTTAATACACCAGGTATGTTGACAGGGAAAATTGCTACAAAGTGGGCCCAAGCTAAGTTGGTGAACACAACCCCAATTTCAGCATGGTTTATGATACATTATAACTACAGTTATCGATAGTATTCACGGGGTTTACAAACCAACAGACATCACTGGGGGGCCGCAACTTGATAGAAATCCGCTATCAATGCCACTAGCTCCGTCCCAGTTACGTCTGTCGAAAGAGCGCCGCAGCCAAGGCCGACCGGATGATAGCGCCTGGAGATCCAGCGCTCGCTGGAGGTGAAGCTTGCCATAGCTTGGAAGCTCCAAATATGTTTAGATTTAGATTATATATATATATATATATTTTTTTTGAGTTCTCTAACATCTATATATGATCTATAACATCTAATTGCAGATTACCTGTAATTTTATAACCTCTTTATCCATATTGTTATATCTTTAGCCTCCAACTTGCATGGTTACAAGAATTCTATCGAAATCCAATCTTGATTGTCACACTACGGGAAAGGCCCCCAAGTTGCAACTTGGTTTGTAACATTTTGTAACCCAGTTGCTTTGTAACCCAAGCAGTTTGATACAGCCGCCATGAATCCTAGTCAACCTAGTCATACACCAACTTCGCCATCAAGGGCCCCTTGACGCCAGTCGCCCGGACCTAGGCGCAGAGAATGCCAGAAGTATTGGTTCACCAAGACAGCCTCATCCAACAGAAGGGGATGCGAAGAGGAAAAAAATCCGAGAAATCGACCTCATACTCATCATGACTCAGATATTTCCATGTCAAATACGACTCCCCCATTTAGTCCCACTTATGGATTAATGAGCTGCCTTGGTCAATGAACGGTTGCCTCCAAAATAGTCATATACTAAAACCCATGTAAAGCCCAAAAAGATAGGAACGTAATCCCAAAAAAGATATTTCGAAAAGTCTAATTCTTCTCATTTCTTCATCGATACCCATAGGATCCATGGTGCTGCTATATATATATATATGGTAACATGGATCCCATATTTTACCATCAATATACCACCTTTATGTTAGCATATATACCATACATGGATCCTATGGGATATATTTGAGTGGGAGATTCCGTTTGTCTATCTTTTTGGGGCTTCGAGGCCTTGGGCCCCTTGGGCCCACCATGCCTGCGCCAGAGTTGCCAGCGGCAACAGCAAGGCCAGCAGCGCCAGGGCCCCTGCCTGGATTTCCAGCGCTTGAAAAGGAGGAAAAGAGAAGGGAATGACTAGGAAAATGATGGTTCTATCCCATAAACTATATAGTTATATAGTGATTATAACCCATATGCTCCATGTAGTATGGTATATTTAAACCTACATTTGGGTTATTTTTAGGGCAAATGTTGGTAAATATTGCATACATGGAGCATATGGGTAAAATGCAATGATTATATGAATCATGTTACCTAGACCCTCCAGGTACCTATAAAAATGTTTTACCCTGTATTTTCAGTACTTTTATCTGTTTTTCAGGTGGGATATGGAGGGTCCACCCCCGAAAGAGCAAACTACACCGTTTCGAAGGGGATGAGGATGACCAACCAGGGGTCTAGGCTATTTTCAGACAAGTAGGGAATGGATGGGATGGTCATTACCGCACCAAAACAACATTTTTTGCCGGGTGTTTGAGGTTGCTGAAATGTGATCAGCTGGCATGGGTGGAAATAGAATCTAAGAGAACAAAAAGTGACCGGTTTTGAATGGGTATAGCTCAAAATTGAGCTGCTAAAAAAAACGACCAAAAATCGAGTGCCAAAACATGTGATCGGATTTTGGGTGCAAATTGATTTCAAAAAAATGATAATCGAATACACTTCTGCGTCCACTGGTTCCTAATCGTTTGACCCCGATTTGCTGGTAAGTCAATGTCATCAAACTTGTCCCGATCCCTACTGTGAATGGAGGAAATCCTGCACCAGATGGTTTATCCCCTTATAATCCCATTATTTTTCATAATTCATAGGAATCCCAATAATCCCATTATTTTTCATAATTCATAGGAATCCCAATAGAAATCCCAACTGGTGCAGGATGTCACAACCATCCACAGTATTCAATCTTTCCATCATCTATCGAGAGGACGTCACTTTCCAGAAACGGTTCCGGACGATGCTGACAGTCCTAGCGACCAACAGGCCGAGCTTTGATGATTTTCCCATGGCGAAAAAAAAACAACAACTGCATGTTTGATGATTTTGAGTGGATTTTCCGGCATAGGCCACCTTTGGTGACACCTACCTCGGTTCTTCAAAATTTGGAGCTTTCCATTCTCTTGTTCAACTGTTCATGCCATCCATCTGTTTAAACATCTTTTCGATTTTTTCTTAAGCGTGTTTGGCAAAAGTGTTGAGCACTGGAGGGGCTAAAAACAAGGTCAGCGGTGACTGCCAGCATCTCAGCATCTTTGGCTGTAGACCATCGGCTTCTGACGAAATTGACAAATTCATCACTTCCTGCTGTAACCAAGAAGTAACGATCCTCATCCACCGGTGCATCTATAATCATCTAATCTGTAATCATCTATAAGCTCCATACTTGCGGGTCAAATATTACCAGTGTTAGCTTGTGCTATCAGCTCCCTTGAAAAGACATTAGTCGATTTGGATCCTTAGCACATTTGCTGGGATATACTCTCTTGCAATTTAACATAGTGGAAAATCATCCATGTGTAAATTGTTAAATCTGACCATTTTCATGGCTATGTTGTATATTAGATCACCAAAGGGTAATGGGAATTAAACTTGATAAGCCGACATTTTAATGGGAACATATATAATTATATGCATTATATATGTTCATGAAATGCAAGGGCAACATATTTCATGATTCACTAACCTAAAACAAGGCTTTCCAAAAGGGATAATTACCATGATTCCAGCGAGGTCACTGTGAAGTCACTAATTATACCCAGATGAAATGCGCAAGGGCTAACCCTTCAGCCTTTCGTCAGTTCACCCTGGTATCGCGAGTACACCCAAGACGTACGCGACCTTGAGTCGCGGTCAACGGGCAGCGAAGGATCGGACAGATATTTGTTTTACGGATGGGACCTGAAAAGTGGAACTTTGAACATACCTCTGCCGTGGTCAAAAAAAAGTAATGAAAATTCGTAGTAGACCCTTCAAACACCCACAACATTGATGTTTTACCCCATATGTGCGAAGTACTTTGACCATTTTTGGAGAAAAAAACGATGCGGGATTTTCAATCTGCGATCCTGGACCGGTGCCAGAGGCGTGATGTGAGGCGGAAAAAACCAGCGCGTTGCACTTGGGATTTGACCAAAACATGATGGTCTTTACCATCAAAAAATGGTGGGTTAAAGAAGAAACAGAGGAAAGATACTGTAAACCTTGAAATTGGGATTTGTATGTAGTTGACCTGGGCAGCCCAACTTACATTGATGTGTTCCCACACAAAATGATCCAAGCACATGGTGGATTGTCCATACCAATACATAATACTAATTATATTGAATAATTATATCAAATTACTGTAGGGCCTGCCGTGCCCACCATTTATGAAACCATCAACACAATTTTTCACACAAAGAATAAAATGGAGATATTTCCCATGAAGAGTAGTTTTTTCCACCAATTCCAGGTGAAAAAAGATGAAGTGAAGGTATGATCTCGATTCATTGCATTTTCCAGCTGCGTTCCGCCCAAGTGCGATGGCAGCAATGTCACCAGAACCAGGGCCATTCAGGTGTCGGTCTCGAACACCGTATGCTCAAACGATTTTTCCCATGGCCCATGGATGAAATGTCTCCATTCACAATTTAGGATATATTATATATATAATATATGGATATATGATATATGTTTAGAACCATACGCCGTTCTAATCCGTTATACCAAATTCCGATGGTAATTGTGCGCATCTATTGCAATTACACTTACCCGCACCAGGCAAACATATCAAATAAGCAACCCCAAGTTATCAGGTAAATCACCCTAGTTACCCATCCCGTAACTGGGCCAGGCCCAGTTCCAAAAAGGGAACAGGGCCTCCAATTCTTGCTGGTTTTCAGGTACAATGGATTGGTGTTAAAGGAACCTCTTCACCGGAAACCAATGATTCTAAACACAATTATCAGCTGGTTGGTGATTTTAACCATCTTGAAAAATATGAGTTCGTCAATGGGAAGGATGACATCCCATATATGAAATGGAAAATGAAAAATGTTTGAAATCACCAACCAGTCAGGCAACTTCCTGCATGTTTTTCGCTGAAACCACTTCTGGGAAAGGGAAATGTTCAAACGTCTCGGACTTCGACGCACCGTCACGTATCGATGATAACGATTTCAAACTCTCTTCTTTGGGGTACAATGATAATCAAATCATGTGACTAACATATACATATGTACATACTATTGTGTATATATATATATACATATATATATATACAGAGAGAGAGAGTAAGCTAATGATTATACATCCAATCACAATTCTTATCATCACATAATAAACAATCATGTGGCCTATATGTATACACATTTATAATCAATATATATATATGTATATATATATATATACATACATACATGAGCGCCGTCAAAACCCTTTACATCTGAGTAGTTGCTATTGTTATGGTTATCGCTTTTGTTTTGTGGAAATAAGCATATTCGAGATCCAACATGAATGAGGCCAAAATCATCCAAAATCCATTCCTAAACAGGCTCGGAAATGGATTCATGATTGAGGAGTTGTTTTGTTGGTTTCAGGTGCTTCGGCAACACTTCATGTTCCTTTCATTTTGCATTCGTCTTCCTTTCATTGTGTATTCATTTCCCTTAACTTTCCTTTCATTCTCCTTTCATGTTCCTTTCATGTGTATTAATTTCCCTGTATTTTCCTGTAATATTCCTTTCATTTTCATTTCAATGTGCATTCATGTCCTTTCATTTTCCTTTCATTTCCTTTCATTTTGCATTCATGTCCTTTCATTTCATTTCAAAAGTTATGGAAATGGCTCTATGGCTTGGCCAGGGGACCGAGTGCAACAAATCGTTATCGCTAAGTTATCGCTATTGTTATCGCTAAATAACCTCTCCAATATATGATATTGTTCGAAGGAAATTTGCCACAAAAACAACAGAGAGAGAGAGAGAGAGAAAGAGAGAGAGAGAGAGAGCGCAAGCGAGTTGGATGCCAAATGATATGGAAACCGCAGGAAACAGGGCACCACAGGTTGAATTTCCATCATTGTTTTTGCCCGTTCTGTGAATGTGCACAACAGTATGTGCTTGGTTTACGCCAAGTTGAATGGACTGTCGTGTATGGTCCCAGGTTATCCCTTTTCGCTTTACATTTACAGTTTTTTGTGCACACCTCTGACAAAAAAACTCTTGCAATACTAAAGTGGTCTTCAAACATTTTGACCGTGATTCATATTCATATGTATATATATATATACATATACATAATATGTATATATATATACATAGTATATACATATATATGTATATATATTATGTATATAAATATATATATATATATACATTATGTATGTGGACAAAATTACAAGGGGTCCTTAACCTGTGGCTTCCGCTTGGTTCACAGCGACACGCGCGCCACAGAAGCGCTATCTTTGAAAGCCCTGTGACGCAGACTTTAGAGATTTCTGATCCACTTCAAACGCCTTCGCAGCGCAAGAATCACAAATGGTTGGTGCTTGAACTATAGAAATGCCCATAGATATATATATATATATAGATATGCCCAAAAAGCGGCCCTGCAAGTTGTCAGTTGGTTTAAAAACCCATCTAGCTAATATTGTATGTATATATATATATATATCAGTTCAAAACTCTATTAAACGCACACAGTGATGCCCCCTTGATCGCTAAGTTGGTGAACACAACGCATGGTGATACTTGTCACATCTTATAACTATAGTATTCATGGGGTTTATAAGCCAACAAACATCGCTGGGGGCCACCTTGTAGAGTGATCCCAAGTTAAGGGTCAACAGCCCGGATGCAATGACTACCAGTGGTAATCCAACATAGCTATGCAAAACCATATTTTTTCATCGGATTTCAGAGGTAAATTCAGGATTTCGGTAAATTGTGCAAACACTGGCTATGTCTCATAGCTATTCATAGCTATATGTTAGATTACCAGCGGGTACCCAGTGCCAACGGGTTGCTAATGTTGTTCCCCCAATGAAGCAGG